GTTCAGTCGTATGACGAGTCTTAGCGGGGGAAGGGAGGGAAAGGAAGAGAGTCTTGCATGAATGAAAAGATTGGATGCATACGTATGAGATCAAGTGTGATAATTTTTGATGTAACGACTCAGAGAACATCGTATCAAAGGGAGGTCGGGCTATCTCCAGATATTCTGCGGTACATCGATCCAGGGCTATCCCGTCCGTTTGAATTAGCGGACGATGGCGTTCGGTGAACACTCTGTTCCTCTATAGGCGATAGACCCAAGCTGATGGTGCTGCTGGACCGGATTCTTGGAAGATCGGACAATAACGAATTGTTTATCCCACGTTCTCACTGTTCCTCGTTGTCATAAAAGATATCTTTGTCATGCCATCCTCGTCATTTCCTACCACCGTCATGCTTGCAGTCTCCTTGCAACCAGCGCAGTAATTGGCTTGAGGGTATCGCCATTCCACCATCCGAACAATAGTCCAGTTGAGAATTTTCCAGAGCACCTGGAGGAAAACCAGGTCGGCGACGATGATGCTGACGATCAGCGAGCCTGCATTTTTTATCTTGGGAACTTGGCACAGGTATTGCGCGTTGAGAACGGCCGGTTTAACCACTGGGACCCCCGTCTTGAACAATTGATAAAAAGCTTCCGGGTTTCTTAGTATTGCGTCACGTGTGACGGGAGGCAATCCAAATAGCATGTGCAACACTTTCGCCACGTCGTGGTCGAGTGCATTCCTCGTCAAGGGATCGAACTGCATGCTCGCGTTGACGAATTCGATCAGCCGTTGGGGATCAGCGACGATGTTGGAAAGTACGGGTTGGCCCAGGTGTGCTTGGATAGTTGCGTACAAAGACTTTACCAGTCCATCCATCAGGAGAAGATACGACTCCAGAGGCTCGGAGGTATTGGAGAGAGGGACGAAACCGCTCCAACTATTTTCCCAGCCGAGCTTGTATTGCGCTAGCAGATCAATACCAGAAGTCAAGCTCCACGATTCCAACGATTGAACATCTCGGTACCCGCCGAGCAGGAAGGTGTTGTTGTCACTGTCTTTCGAAGAATTTCCGGGGTCGATTCTGCTGGGGATTTGTTCCGGCGTAAGGAAAGTATTGAAATAAACCGTATCTTCGCCAGCCTTCTGTTCTCTTGTGAGCCCTTGCAGCGGCGCTCAGGTTAGTGGAGAGCTGTGTAATGGGGCTTTTGGGGGGCATTTGCTCACCGAAAAAAGTACTCGACTGGTTGCAAGTCTGGCTAAGGTTTTGGAGTCGTGAAGCATGATATCCTCTGCCCATGTAAGCTCATAACAATCAAGCTCCACAATCGTGCCTCACATCATCTCCAGACCCCAGTACAGACTTGCCTCCGTTTGACTGTGAAGTGACTGGAATTGCGGAAATATAATGGCAGTACTCTTGGTCTGGTCTCGCGATGAGATACTGATAGGGTCCATTTCAGAGATAAAGATCTGAAAAGAGGCACCTAAGGTCAATATCGTCGGTATCATATTTTCATACACTGTACAGTTAACGGTACACTAACAACTTTATTAGCATGTAGACACGAAATTGGCTGCTTATGGGTGGGATGTACCGCTGCATCTAGGAAGAAGTTCCACGGCTCAAGACCTTCCGGGTTTGTTTCAATGATCATAGAGGTCACTTTGCATGCATGCAGGTGGTCATTCTTATATATAAAAGATGTCTTAGGAACACTTTGATTCTGAACCTCCCTAGCGACGGCTGTTACAGTGTAAATCAGGCCAAGGTTGTTCGTATAATATTCTGCAAAAGGTGAGCGATCGAAGACCCTCAAAGGATAAAGGTCTTACATACGTGATCCGAGACTCAAGGTTTGAGGCTGGCATTTTGGCGAAACCTGAATTTTTATTTCGTCATTTCATGTGAAGCTGGGTGAAGGCTTCGGCGGAGCAAAGCCTAGGTACGAGGAAGGATTTCCGAACATACCTTACTTATGAGCGACCATGGCTGCTTCTGATACCATGGCGGCTTTGATGGAGATTCTGTTTCATTTGGGTTTGTCATATACAAGATGCTGTGGCCAGGCCAGACGCGAGTTCCTCAAGCAGGCTCTGGTTGCAACCCTACCTTGTGTCGTATCCATTGGCGGCGAGATTGAGGACGGAGAGTAATGCTGTCGCAACAACACCGCCAACGACGACAAGCCAGGTAAACCACTTATAGGGATACGGCTTTGAAATACTGTAGCTAAAGAAAGATTCGTGCATGGCTCACGATGCTGCGATTCCAGCACAGGTGTTCGAGTTTTTTCTTCTTGATGATCAGGCAAGGATTTAATAGCGCTTAGCTTGGTCGAAAGCCTGATTGCGAAATTCCATGATGGCGAGCAGATAAATAAGCACTAGGCAGCCCAATAGGGTGGACCCCTGTCGAACGTCTGATCCGGCCGAACGCCCGATTTTGACCACTTTTTTTTATTAAACAAAGGTGACACAGGATATAGAAGACCAAGAACAGTTCATGCAAGAGAATGAAGTGAATCGATATCTGGAAAGACGAAAAAAGATCCCGCGGCTGTAAAGGCTCAACCAGCCGACGCAGAATTTGGCACAGCCGACACAGTTTATTCCTCAACAATGCAATGAATGCAGCATTCAAGGAAATTGGCGAGCTCTTTCAAATAGATGATTTGATTTACTGTGCGTTCCATAAGTGTTGCGAAAGCTTGGCGTTACATTGAGAATTGCTGCTGCTGTTTCCTCGAAATGAAACAGCTCTTAAGGGTCCGACCAACAGATCTATATTATAAAAGTAGTACACTAATGCAATGTTGAACTTCTTCTGACTCTTTTGATATAGATTTGAGATATTAAAGATCTCTTCATAGAATTATATTCCTATATATAAATAATCTTCTGTTTATTCTATTGAAATTTAAGTTATTTGACTTTCTAGATTAGGAATCTAAGGTCAAATCAAGCTCAATAGTCCTGTAGCTACCAGAAGATGTAGATTTCAGGGCAATATATTACGCAATAAAGAATATAGTATCAACAGATAGAGCAGCAACAGCTCCGAAGTATACGCCAAGCTTTCGCAACACTTATGGAACGCACAATACTTTGTAAGCTATTTTGACTCCGCCTTTCCACACACCTCACGTCATTAGGATCAAGGGATACCCAGAATTCTCCTTCCCTGAGATAAGGTTACAGACGACAGGCGTTGCGATCCAAATTATGAAGCTCGTTGGTTATCAACGCCATAAGTTTGCAATGTCTCCAGTCAGTGAGTTATTTGTGATAGTTCGTTGAGAGTATTAAGGTTGTTCTCAACGGGAGCAAATGCCAACCTTACATCGTATTTTCATTCCAACCCGTTCCGGCATCTACCGTTGTTGGAAGTATATCTTTTGCTTCGAGAAGAATCCTTCATCTCTCAAAGAATATCATCAATGCCAACCGGGGTAAAGACGTGTCAGGGACATTTTTAAGCGATGGGACCGATTCAGGACCCAAGTCCACAAATTAGACACCCTGAACATTGTCGTCTAGAGTTGGCGAATAAGACACGACACGAAAATGAGGCCACGATGCATGATTGGCTTGTAGGGGAGGAAGGAAAAGGTGACTGAGCAACCTAAGCAGCCTGAGCAAGTGGGTGAGCAAGCTGCGCCGATGATGAGCCGCGGATGGATAGCGCCTGAGCAGAAGCGGCGATGCTGACTAGCCAGATGGGATTCTCACCAAAAAAATATTATGGGATAATCCCCTGAATATTTCAAGTCTTGATTTGGTTTGACAAATGTACGGATTTGGTTTATTTGCCAAGCATTTGATTTGGCTTTTGACTCAATTTGCTTCACATGGACACACTGTACAGCAGGACACGTTTGCTTAATCGTCTACGGTCTGTGGAACTTCTACGCGACCTGCGCCGTCGTGGATAGATTGGAGAGCTACGCTTGCTCTGGAGCAAAAAGGCGTTGCGCTACTTGTGCACCTTGGTAGGGAACGACGCATGCATGATGGAGAACCAATGCTATGAGTGTTGTCGAATTCATCCTGAGGCCTCCTGCGAGTGCCCAGTGACTGCTCTGCACAACTTTCCAACACCGCCTGCGACTCGAGTTTTCTCGTAGTCCAGTCTCCTAGCGAGCACCAGAGACAAGTCGAGCTCTGGGTAGATGATGTGCAACATGGTCTGTATAGGACGAATTATCTTTTTCCAGGCTCCTACTTCGAAAAGTTATTCGTCCCACACTGGCATTGCCGCAGCGTCCGCCAAGAGTCATTTGGCATGAATTGTGCCTCGAGGTTTCCTTTCTTGCTCTCCACCAAGAAGGGTCTTCCCTTCTCAGTCGCCCGAAGAAGTTGCAAGTCTTCTCTTTATTCTTGCGAAATTGTCCAACGCTAGGCGAGTTGGTGGTCGGTGAACCTTGTATCGACCATGTTGCTTGGCCGTGTGGCCTAAAAGACCGCATGCTGAGCAGATAGCACCGAATTTCCTCCTCAGACGAAGACGAGACTTTACTGAGTCCTGCAGCTCTTCTTCGCTATTGTCTCGGGAAGCTTGATCACGGGGAGTAGAGTCTTTGGCTGAAGATGTTGCCACACTCTCGTCATGTTGCACACTCTCGCGAGCTGGTGTGCTAGGCCATGCATCGGTCAGAGATGTGGCTGGAGGTTGTGGAGCAGTTATAGCTGGCTATGCAAGACAACCCTGAATGCCCGCTGGAAATGCAGCTGGGATGACCAGAGGCATAGGATCGACCTATACCTGATGGCCAGAAGCGAACGGTTGCCCGTTCTAGTGATAGATACTACCATGCCCACCACTAGATACTCAATATGAAATCAAGTATATTTCAAGCGTATTCAGGATGTGCGTTTGGAGTGCGTTTGGAGTGCGTTCAAGTGCGCTCTGAGTCTCTGAACGCACTTGACACAGCGCTGGCGCATTCCTTAAATGGGCAAACGTTTCGGACGAATTCAATAATTCAAATGCTACTTGAGTATGATTCAAGTATATTCAATAGAATTCATTAAAAAAAACTTTTAAAAAGTGTTATGTCTAAATTTTTTAGTTTCTAATTTTTAGACTTTTAATCATTCTTGTATTATTTCAACTTGATCATTTGTACTTTTTTGAATAAATAATTACCTTTAGAAAAATAAATAAAGTAAATAATTATAAATTAATTTTCTGGATTCTCTTGAAATCTCTTGATTTCTTAATTTCTTAATTTCTTGATTTCTTGATTTCTTAATTTTCTTGAATGAATGATATCTTAAGATATCTTGATTCTATCTAAATAATATAGAGCTCGATGGATTTGTATAATTATTGAAGCAATTGAATATACTCAAGTGGAATTTGAGTAGTATTAATACTAATTTGGACTAGTATTGAGTTGATATTGAACAACTAATGGTGGGCATGATAGTAGTCTAGCTAGAGCCGTAAATTCACGGCATTATACCGTACAAGAGCTAGCCATACGCACCATACACCTGTAGTTACAACTGTGGTGGAGTGCATGATGTTACCATGGGCTGCGGTTGGATTACTCCATACAGCGGTGGTTGCATGAGTGGTGCTACGGCCGGTTGCGGCTGAGCCCATATTGTTGCAGCTTGTTGTGGCTGTTGACCTGAAAACCCGACATACGAGCTTGTGGAGGATAATGACCCGCATGCCGAACCTGAGAAGGAACCTGGGCCTGACCCAGTGAGGTTTGCATGGCGCTTGATCAAGGTTGAGCTTCTTGTTGTGGGAATCCACCTACCTGCTGGGCAAGTAGGATTTGTGCATGCCATGGCAAGGGGTAGAATGACCCTGCATGTTCGCTTTCATTGAAAGTGGAAAAGAGATTATGTAGTGTTGAACCGGCATGGCCACTTATTCTTCCAGCTTGAAGAAAATGAGTTGTCCGCCAAGAATGGTACAAATAACTATTGAACTCTCAGCCCCTGAACCCCTCATTTCCCCCTTCACCTCTCAACTCCGGTCACCAAAAGAAACAGCTTTTTGGAGACAAAAAGAAATGAGAGGAGCGAGATTCGAACTCGCGCGGGTTTCCCCACCAGGAGCTTCCAGGAGAATATGTCAAGGTAGACCTTACTATATGCTATTAGCAATTTTCAATTTGAGATGAAGATGCAAGTACTAACACCTGGCGCCATAACCGACTCGGCCATCCTCCCGTATATATTGTGGAGGAGAAGTGACTAAAGAAACTTATATAATATTTTGAAATTGTGTAGCCACATTTTGGGGACACTGTTTGGCTTTTGTACTGCAAACGTTCTTCCTGTTTAGCAGTCCCGGAGATCAAAATTGCTGTCGGTTACTAGTAGTAAGTACTAGTACTATGCATTTACTTGCTATTCGCAGGCCTGTAGCCATGATTACACTTGAAAGTCTTGGATAACTAAGTACTATTATGCTGTATTGAACGAGGATAGGATTTGGGAGATGTAGAACCTGGACACAGCAGTGGGAAGCGAATAGGCTCACGGCAGGGGGGGTTCAGCCAAGGGTGGCGCGTCAAGCTAGAACTACGTACTACTAGCAATGACCAACAGATGGACACCACTCAATCACATCACAGCGCTAGCAAGGACGTCGCTAGGAGGAAGGGCTTGCAAAAAAGGATTGTAGCACCAGCGAATGCTCTCAAATGCAACGGTGCTGGCTACTACTGCAGGATGTGCCACAGTGTAAAAAAGAACTCCTTATAACCTACTCGAAGTCGCTGCTCCAGGCCTGTCTGGTGCCGCTCTTCTTAAGTGAGACCCCCTGACGGAGTATCACCACTGTTGAGAGACGAAGTGTCCTCGCTCTGGACATCAGTGGCAGCATCACCTAATATGTTGAATGGATTGGCAGACTTGTCCGCTGGTTTGGACTGTGCTCTTTCCTTTGATTCTGAGCTACAACTTTGTGTGGTAGGGGGAAGCGACGCTTGCACCTTGCTTTTGGCGACGGTCGATTTGATGTGATTTGACTCATTTGTCAAATGGAGTTAAAAGTTAGTACTATGCAATGTTTTGTTAACAGGACTGCCTTTTCTTCAATTCATCTCATAAGAAGAGTCTGCCAAGACTTTTTTTCCGTCAAAAATTTCTAGGAATACGATTTTAAAACACTAACTTACTTTTCCGCCAAGACTTGCATTAATTTGTCAAATTTCAAGGTCTTGATTTGATTTGATGAAAGCAGGGACTTAGTTTAGTTGCCAAGCATTTGATTTGGTTTATTTGACCCGATTTGATTCAACTGCATACACTGTTCACGTCTCGTTTCCAGCCCTTTCTGAGTCCTCCGTAACCAGTCTGGGAGATTTGAGAAAGCGTATGCGACAGGGGCTTGGCTGAGCTTCTTTGGCCCAACCGTACTCTGCGGCATATTTGAGAGATCGGCTGTTCTAGCAAATATCATCTTTGACTTTTGCTCAGTAGCTTGTTTGGCTGCCAGCTCGTCAAGTTGCTTCTTGCGCTCCTTGAGTTGACGCTTCTCTTCAGGAAGTGTACGATTGGCCTCTTCGAAGGCCTTTTGCTCTTCTTCCAGCCCTGCCTTCTGCTGCTGCACCTTGACCCGCCTTTCTATTTCCCTCTGGATTAAATCCTCGGAGTAGTAGGCGGCCGATGGTGGACACCTGGCTGCAGTTTGCTCAGGTTGATTACGCGCTTGAACTGACTCTGCGAGCTGGGATGGAGTCACTCAACAGAGTCTCCAGCCAGTCCACCCAGCACTCTGTGATTGCACAACCCACAGGAAGTACTTAGCAATCTGAGGGAGGCGATGCAGAGAAGCAGATGGCTGTGGAGGAAGCTTCACGTTTCTTGCAGGATCTGTCCCCTCGACTGCAATCCACTCCCATGACGGGTTTGGGTAGGATGGATGAATCCGAGCGAGCGGCGCTCCTCAGCCTACCCGAATACCTACGACCAGGGTATCCATCAAATCAAACACAGCAAATCGAGGCCCCCGATTTGCTTGGATTATTTTATTTAATCAAAAATCGAAATTTTCTTTGTTTGACTTAACTGTCAAATCGAGTTAAATCTCAGTAAGCAATATATTTCTAGGGATTTACTTGAATTCTCGTCAGTCAACTTCGAGCGTCCGCCAAGGCTATTATTATCCTTCAATATTTCAAAATACTACTCGTAAGGGACATTTCTGTCAAGACTTCAGTTTGACTAATTTGCCAAGCATTTGATTTGATTTGATAGACACACTGCCTACGACGAACCTTCGAGCTATGGAGTACTAGTTCTGAGTCGAGATGATGGTCGGCAACGCCGATTGCCCACGTCTTCCATACTTATCCCACGAAGAGCCTGAATGCTATCGAAAAAGGCCCGATGGGCTACAAAATGTCCCGTATCCCGTCCAAAAATCCCTCATTTACCAAACGACCTCAGCAAGGTCTTCTTGAACCTTCAAATCTACAAGGCAAAAGATTCAGATCTCCGGAAATTACAGACTCTGAACGCAGAGTATGACCCACGAGTCCGCCAAGCCAATCAAGTAACGCAGACAATGTGTCCACGGCAAGTGGGATTCGGGTGCAACCACTACAGCCATTACGCCGCACTTTCATACCACACGGACGCTGAGTAGAGGCTGTCTCCTAATCGAGTCCCTGCCTGTGCGGTCTGGTCAGCTGCAAGTCCGTCCTCCAACTCTCGAAGTACCCATCGAGTTGAGCCAAGCGAACGACATCGTCTACAACCGGAAGCGTGATAGACCGAGCGACGTTTGCGAATTGTGTGCAGTTCTTAGGCGCTTTCAGCATTCGCTTGATCATTACTACGGCGGTTGGAGGGTGCGGCGCACTACCACGCAAGAAATGGGTTCGGACGACTTGGTCAAGAGTATTCAGGCCCGTGGAGATCAGAGAAACTATGCGTCACAGGCGAGGAATATATGGATGGATGACTATGGCAGCCTCAAACACACGATGGAGTCGTATATCCAACAATTGACCAACATCGCGACTAGCCTTCTCCAAGCCGTCGAAGCAAACATCTTCATGGAAACGCATGGTCACAAGAAGCTGTCAAACCGCATAGTGCGAGGTTCAATGCTCCCGTGGTTCAAAATGCTCGAAGAAGATCATTGGACACATGCTATGGTTATATTGGATTGTCAATCGCCATTAAATGAATGTATGAGTGCTTTGAAGCTCATAATCACGAATTCAACAATCTTCGACGTGGAACTAAGCAGCTCATCCTCGAATGTCTGCCTCGCTATCGAACGACGTCAGAGAGATCTCTTGGAAATGCTGCTGCCGCGTCTGCCGCCGAGTCAACCAGCTTTTCCCATTTTACATACGCACCCGAGCGATATGCCGTTCGACAAAAATCCCTCTGCAGGACAGGCTTACAGAAGACCCACTCAGAAGGGGCATTTAAACTAACCAATGGGCAGGCCGATGGGGTTCGGACACATCGTAATGTCGCCAAGATGGAAATGGAAGAGCTGAAGGAGGGTTTTCGCACAGCAAATAGAAGAGAGGTGCGAGTGATTGAATAGGTCATCGGCACGTGGGAGTCCAATTGCCTCTGAACCTCCTGATGAGCAGTAATAAGACGGTTCGAACAAGAGCATGCTTTCTTCTTACAATATCTGAGCGTGCATACACTCTGATGTGCGTTGATCTTGTAATATCCTGCAATACTCTTTCTCAAGAGAATCAGCTCATAGCGGGTTAGCTTGCATACGAACAAGGATCAGTCCGAAGTACTCCATGATGCGTACAAGATATCACAGACTAATGCTGAACTTGAGTTACTGTTACTCATCCACAATGAGAGACGCTGCAGAGCTTATAATCCAGTCATCATTGTAGACTTTGTAAGCTACCGCGGCTACTGCTACGGAGTACTAGTACTACCATTAGTAGTAAGTAGTATTAGAGGTTGTACGAGTAGTAAGTACTCAGGAGTGGTATCCTGCCAAGACAGAAATGCCAAGACGTAAATGCCAAGACGTAAATGCCAAGACGTGAATGCCAAGACGTGAATGCCAAGACTTGAAGAACGCCGCGTTCGCTGCTTGGCATTATTGCACCTAGTCCCACAGTAGTACTGCCATCCAGACGTAGCTATCAGTGTCTTATCAGTATGATGTATTCGGTTGCTCGATGGCATCAAGCAATGCTTTCAAGATACGACAAGTAGTACAACTGATCCACAAGGATCAGCCATCAGAAAGGCTCCATCAGGACTAGAATGGGTATAACCAGGACGAATATGGACACCAAGGGCCTTCTTAGAAACCTATGTGCTTCTGCAAATCGGTTTGTAGACGACCTAGACCACGAAAAGAAATGCAGATCTGCTTTTCTTTCGGGTCATCATGTCGCGTGCGCCAGGGACCTTTGGTTGGTGAAAGATTTCTGCTGATTGACGTATGGATGGTTCAACTTCTACGCAGGGTCCCGGCCTGCTGGATTGCGGGGCACGCCTCTTTGCGCCAACGCCGCCCAGCTCGTTCCACCAAATCTAGGCAACCCTAACTTGAGATAGGAATTTTATGGCAGTCTACGCTGCAATATCCCCGCAATGCAAGATCAGCTGCCCAACCACCATTCGTCCTCATGCAGGCAAAGGCCAATCAGGGTCGGATGTCACCGATAGCGCTAGAGAGCTTTGACGATAACCATCTCTGACCCTGCTGGTCGAGATCACGGCACATGGCGAAGTGTTCGAACTAATATTGTCCCATAGCAATGGGCAGACTGTTAAGTGTCAAGTTATGTTCTTATGAATGCTGATACGTCCCGCTTCATACCCTGCTACATAAATCCGTGAAATCTGCTCGTTGTTGAGCTGCATCTTGTGGCAGAGGACCTTGTCGAGTCTACGTCAGCCGACAGTGCTGCACTTTCACAGACGCCGTTGGTCATTTGACCCTCGAGAAGACTTCGACCACACGTTGTCTGGCCAGGCCTGCGCTCTTCATACATCGCGTTTGCGCCTCTCAAGGACCGTATACATATAATGGCTAGCAAAGAGAAGGTCAAAGTATGGGCGAGGAAGCTGGCTGTAGAGTCCGAGCCCGGGCTTACCAATGCTCAATTGATGTTGACAAACTACGATCTCAAGCCTGTAGAGCCTGAGCGACGACAATGGGGTCCGTGGAATTTTGTCGGATTTTGGGTTGCCGACTCCTTCAATATTGTGAGAGGTTCTCCAGTCCGATACTGAGTATGGCTAATTGCATGCCAGAACACCTGGATGATTTCATCCTCTATGATTGCTAATGGTCTATCCTGGTGGCAATCATGGCTTTGTGTATGGATTGGCTATTCGATTGCTGCTTGTTTCATTTGCCTGACAGGCCGGATTGGTGCCACTTACCATATCTCATTCCCTGTTGTGGCTAGATCCTCTTTCGGCATATGGGGATCGCTATGGCCCGTCTTCAACAGGGCTGCTATGGCTTGCATATGGTGTGTACAGAAATTGTTTCACCGAGATCGCATCTGACCGGATCAATAGGTATGGTGTGCAAGCCTGGATCGGTGGTCAATGTGTCACTTTGATGATCAGGTCGATCTGGACTGCTTACGCCGAACTCGGTCAGGATGGTCCCCGCAACTCGATGCCTGTATCATCTGGGACCAACACCATGGACTTTCTTTCATTTTTTCTCTTTTGGGCTGGCTCTCTACCTGCTATCTGGTTTCCTGTCCACAAAATCCGTCATCTCTTCACCGTGAAGGCATACTTCGTTCCAGCTGCTGCCATTGTTTACTTTGGATGGGCAATCGGTCGAGCTGATGGTATCGGCCCAATCGTCCATCAACCTGCTGAAGCTCGGGGTAGCGCTCTAGCATGGGCTTTTGTCAGTGGTGTCATGTCTAGTATTGCCAACTTTGCAACTCTGGTAACCTCAACGACAAAAATTATTCTCTCAGTCAGCTGACCAGACAAACAGATTGTCAACGATCCGGACTTCTCTCGTTTTGCAATCAAACCAAGAGACCAGCTCTGGTCTCAACTCTTCACGATTCCGTGCGGATTTGCATTCACCTCATTCATTGGAATCATTGTCTCTTCCTCCTCAAAGGTCATCTTTCCGGACCAAGATTATATCTGGAATCCTCTGACTCTCCTTGGGATGTTCCTCGAAAACGCCAGCTCCGCTGAACGTTTCGCAGTTTTCATCATCGCAGCGGCATTTACGCTCGCTCAACTCGGCACCAACATTGCGGCCAACTCTATCTCCGCTGGGACTGATATGACAGCCCTTCTTCCCCGCTTCCTCAACATTCGCCGTGGTGGTTATATTTGCGCCGCGGTCGGCCTAGCCATGTGCCCGTGGAATCTACTGAAAGACTCCAATAGCTTCACAACCTATCTCAGTGCCTACTCTGTCTTCCTCTCCAGTATCGCAGGCGTCATAATTTCCGATTACTACTTTGTCCGCAAGGGCTATCTCGAGCTCAAAGAACTCTACTCTGCCAGCCCCTCAAGCCCGTATTTCTACTGGTTCGGTTGGTCTTGGCGTGGATACGCCGCATATATTGCCGGCATCCTTCCCAACATTGTTGGGTTTGTCGGTGCGATTGGCAAGCCTATCCCCATTGGTGCGGCATATGTTTATCGGCTCAATTTCTTTGCTGGCTTCATCGTCGCCAGTTTGGTCTACTGGCTGCTCTGTAAATACTTCCCCATCCCTGCAGTCAGTGATCGGTGGTTCGAGCAGGGTGAAGCTGCAGACAGAGCGTTCAGCGTTGCTTACACGGATGGACAAGGGTATGATGAGGAAAGGTCGAGTGGATCGGATCATGGCAGGAGTGGGAAGGTGAAAGAAGCAGAACTTTATGCGGTGAACCAGAAGTCAACTGTGCATGAGGAGACAACTGTTGGGAAGGCCTACTAAGTCAGACCCGGATGGTGGTTATGGCGATATTTGTGAGACTTTTTGCTCATACTAGTTACAAGAAATGGAGCAATAGCTGCCATATCAATGAGACATGAGCGTACTACGTGTGTTTTTGTCTCTCTGGATAAGGAACATATATATTAGACTGCAGCTTCAGACAAATCGCAAGCACCACAACCCTTGCTACTAAGTACTAGTAGTATTGAGCGTTCACACCTAGCACCTAGCCAATCTACCAATTACCCGGAAAAGGGCTCCAAAAATGACGCCTTACTACTGGTCCCCAACAAATCAAGCGATGTTTTGTTAGTACTAATATAAAGGTCATCCAAGACCATACTAGTAGTAATCCGACCGTCATATGACCATGATTTTCGAAAAAGACGTCCTGAACAATGTAATTTGATTGGTTTTCAAATGTCTTGGTTAAGTATAGATTTTTCTGGTAATTTAAACATAGCTTTCGGAGGGCTTCTTCCTAGGTGAAATTTTATTGGTATGGTGTCGACCTCCGAGTGTTCGGGCCTCCATCACCTGAACCTCTTTCCCCGACCAAATCCAAAACAAGAAGCAAGACACTCGATCTAGCTCGCAAACAAAGATTTCAAATGCCTCTCTCATGGACAAAGATCCATAGGCCAAGCACAAAGCTGAGCCCAAAGACAAGAGGTCGTTAAAGTGTCTCGCGGTGGTGAAAACAATTTCGCCAACCCTTGGTACCAGAAATGTCCGTTCGCTCCTCCATAAAGACAGGCAGCGTCATTGCAGGTATCAGGTACACTACCAGGGACTGCTTATGACGACGGCCCTAATCCAGTACCAGAACCTGGACGGATTAGTTTGGATACGTCTTGTCAGGCCGAGTTCCGGAGGCGTTGACTTAAGAAAGGCTTTGCGACGTGTCTGATCTGACCATCACGAATAATATGAGCGAAGTAGAGGTGATTGCGAGCTGGACTGATCCGCCTCAAAACCAAAAAAGGAACAAACGCGTTGAGAGCTGGTGCTTTGCGCCACATCTGACTTGACCAACATGAGCTGGGCTTGTCCGCCCAAAAAAACACAAACTGGCTAAGATACTTACGGAAGTTTTTACAATGCATTCGAATCAGGCACTGAAAAGTGCTTGGGGCGGAGGTAATTGTAGACTGAACCGATCCGCTGAAAAGACGAAAAAGGGCTGAGATCTGGAGGTGCTTACAACCGTCTGACTTGGGCACTACAAGAAGTGCACCGGGGCAAAGATTTTGTGAGTCGGATACGGCGGACTGTTGACTAGTTACGGTCAATTCAAATTTTTAAAAACCAAATTTAGATTTTAAAAATTAAATCTAAAAACTAAAATTGATTTTTGATTCTTTGTTATTTTTATAAATCTTATTATTTTAATTTTATATTATAAATTTATGTATAAAGTGCTAAAAGAAATCAAATTAATTAATATATCTTTTATTATAAAGAATAAAAAAATATTATAAATATAATTAATAAATATTTTTATTATTAAGAATAAAAAAAAGATTTATTATAATATAACTTTTAAT